CCAAAAACAAAAAAACAATTGAACCAAGCCACCCCCTCAAATACATGTCTTGTGCCATACACTTGATGTCACCAGAGAAAGCTGAGACTGAATGTGGAAGAGCAAGTGGGAATAAAGATCCCTGTAGGTTTGGCAATAAAGTAAGTTAAATGCTGTATTGCTGAGCTACACCTCCTTGCTGAAGAAAAGGAGCATAATAACAGCCTTTATATGACTGATGCATCTGAAGCAAGGCAGACTTGCTGGACCGAATGTCTTGGACCAGCCATGTCCTTCTGAACTGCTACTCTCTCCTGCCCTTAATGCTCCAACACTTATGAGGGAACTTGGGTGAGAGACTTTGGCTTTGTTGTTTTCTATAGCTGAGCAAACTTTTCAGATCATCCAGGTGATCCCCTTCCACAAGGACAATTCTTGAGGAGCTGCTTGCTTTCAGGTGCGCGAGACTGGGGACAGAACTGTACCCAGGTGACAGCATCTTCCTCTTATTGACTGAAGGTCAGAGCCATGGATGGATGGTTATTTAATGGCAGTCGTGATAATCCATCACTTAGAGGCAAATGGCTAATTGTGTCTGAGTGGACGTACAGGTGATTTCAGGTTTTTATGTATTTTTATTTATGTTTCAACTCTTCCACCTCAAGCATATAGCTTTTGCGGAAAAAGTCACCCTGGAAAGATTATTCTCTCCAAGTGTCCAACTTCAAGAGTTCATCCCTCAGAAACACTTCTATCCATGGGTGAAGACTGTGTGTGTGGAGATTTGTTGTGTCCTTTTCTGAATTAATGAAATATAGGAAGCTATTTAAATATTGATGAAGGAAAGTGGATTAAAGTCTCCTGGCACTGTATGTGTGATGTGACCCCATTGTGACATTTAAAAACATGTACAGGCACACTGATCGCTGTTTACTAAAGAGTCATAAACACATACAGATGTATGTATGTTCAAATGTGTGTGTGTTTGTATGTACATGAACAAAAGAAATAGATCAAATAGGTAATGTGTTTAATAGCTAAGGAATAGACACATAGTTAAGGGTACTCTGAGGAAGAGTGAAGATACCATGGGGTTCAGGGAGGAAAGTTTTCTGCCGCCCATGTGTGATAACTCGCATGCCCTGGTGTTCCCAAGCTTCAAGGTAAAGAGTCGTTCCCATAACGAAAAGTATATGAGGGAAGCCATAAGAAAGCCCTCCAGGAAGCTTCTCCTGTCTGGTATGGTTGAGTCATCAGAAAGCCTCCTCTTCCTCAGATACTCCTCTTCCCCGAAGAGGGACATGGCTGAGATAAGGAGCCTCCTGAAGGGCATGGGAGTGAAATGCACCTCTTGCTGACTGTGGTGGCCCCATGAGAAGGAAGAGGCTGGAAGGCCCTCCAAGCCAGGTCCTGGGTCACATTCTGTCCTCTGAATGGGCATCACTGTTCTTCCCTAGGGAGACCCAGTGACTGGCCCTGCATGGAGGCCACATGGGACCTGCATGGAACTTGCATGGAGCCTGCATGAACTCTGCATAGATTGGACCCTGAAATGTATATAGTCTCCTCTAGGGTAGAGACTATTCTGCTTATACAACAGCCCAAGCTCCCTTTTAAACCACTTTAAAACCCTTAGACAAAGAGCCCGCATGGATATCCTACTCAGAACACTCTTGGCTAGTAGGAGTTTTACTTCCTTGCCTTTATTTCTTTTAAATAAGTTTGCTTGCACCCTACCTCCTCCATCTGTGGTTTCATTCTTCATCAACTTGGGACACAAAGGCGATGAAACAGGAATAGAGACATCTCCAGTTCCTGGAGCATGACATAGGGCAGAAATTGCAACCCACCACCAGTATGAAATGAATGGCCAGGCAGTGACCGGATTGGACCACAAACTGCTTCAGTATATCACATGCTTTGCCCTAAACACTCACCCTCTGGCCTGGGAGGCTTTCATGATTAACATCATTTGCCTGCATTGCCTCACCCAAGGATCCAGTAGGCTTTGCTATGTCTCCTCCCTTCCAGTGATCTTGGGGGACCTGCCTGACCTGCTTCACACAGACTCCACCTGGCTGTGACCTTCCCCTTTCCTTCCCCCATATCCTCATTACAGGAAACTCGATAGCGCCCTCCAGCCCCTCAGCCTCCTCCTCCTCCATCCCCCTGTGGTGTCAGAGTGGGAATCACCGTTTAGAGCTGGAGTCCTGCTCTCTCCTCCCTCCAGCGGCTCAACTTCTCCCAACCTCCCTCTTCTCCACCCACTCTCAGCTCTGCACACAGGGCTCTCAGGGATTGGTCTTGCCCTTGTCACTCTTTGCACTTCTTCTCTTCTCTTTTTCCAGGCCTGGGCTCTGAGGGAGACACCTTACCAGAGAATTCAGCTGTCCCCAAGCCACCAGCTCAGCACAGCTGGAAGGAGGAGGCCCAGCCTATCTGTGCACTGAGGCCACATCATTCCTCAGAATGTGGATGGAGGGTTCACAGTTTGAGGGCAAAACTAGAAGAAAGGACAGCAACACAAGAGAACTGAACACTCAAGAAAAGTGAGAGACCGAAGCAGGACAGAAGGGCAGGCATTTGGAGGTCACATAGATGGCGTGACCACGTGGAGGAGTGTGGGACAAACTGATCTAATCCCCTCTCATCCCATCTTGCAGAAAAGTTCAGCATCATGAGACTCAGTGGTGAAAAGACACTGTTCTCTAAAGTATGCGTAAGTAGGGAGGATCTGGATTGGAATCAGCTTCCTGATCACCAGTGAAATGCTTTCCTCAAAGCAGCCATTGTAGTGGTACCTAATAATCATGCTGCAATTCTGAGCTTTAATGCGGGGAGTGGAGTCCTTATTTATGGCCTGCCACCACTCCTACCAGTGATGGGCCACTGAGCAGTCATCTGTCTACTATGGGCACAGCCTCAATGCAACCTCCAAAGCCTTTCCCAAAATGTCCACCTGTGTGCACCTGGGCATTGCCTGCACCTCCAGCCCAGCATCCTTTAAATTTCAGGCAGGAATGGAGGCACCAGCAGGGACCTCACTGATGTTACAACCCAATGGTGATTGGAGTTACACAGTATTGTGAACTCCTCCATAATTTTTTTGCCTCTTGGAATCACTGGATGTTAGCATAGCATTCTTCTTGCCAAAATTAAACTTCCAAGATTCCCCCCAAGTGTGACAAATCAAAATTACTACAGTTGATCTGTATTTTTAGTGAGGTCCATTCTGGTTAAGCTAGGCTGAGTTGCTGTTTGCATGCCCTCCACAATGTACACTCTACTGAGAAACCATTTAAGAAGTTCTTTAATCAAATAGATACAGATCATTAAAAAGGTGACCATAGCTGGGCATGGTGATGCACACCTGTAACCCCAGCACTCTGGGAGGCTGAGGCGGGTATTTTACAAGTTGGGGCCCAGTGTCTTCAGGTTAGTGACACTGCATGCTGTCTGAAAGTAACAATTTTAAATGGGTTGTTTTGTAACTCAATGTGAAGGTTTAATCATCTGTACTGCAAAAACAAAAAACAAAACTCACACCTAGGAAACTATCTGTTGCATCATATAACCAATGTCACCAGAGAAATCTGCCATGGAACCTAGGAAAGTGGTGATGAGAGTGACCAGGAAGAAGAAAACAGAAAGATCCAGTCAGGTTTGGCAATAAAATGACTGATGGCAGGGGGCACCCGGATTTGAACCAGGGACCTCTTGATCTGCAGTCAAATGCTCTACCCCTGAGCTATGCCCCCTTGCTGAGCAGAAGGGCATAATAACAGCCTTTATATGAGTGTACACATCAGAAGTAAGGCAGACTTGCTGGACGGGTTGTCCTGGCCAGCCCTGACTCTCTAAACTGAGATTCTCTCTTGTCACGAACTGATCCTCATTTCCCAAGATTTCTGGCAGCTTTGTTGACTTGTACAGCTAACAAATCATCCAGGGGGACTTTTCAAATCATCCAGGAGATCTCCTTCCACAAGAACAATTATTGAGCAGCTACTCGGTTTCAGGTGCACAGGATTGGGGACAGAACAGTACCTAGGTGACAGCACCTTCCCCTCAATTGACTGAAGGTCTGAGCCATGGGTGGATGGTTATTTAAAGGCAGAATACTGCTCATGTCAATGCATCAAGTTTAAAGGCAAATTGCAAACTGTGTCTGGGTAGAAATATAGGTGACTTTGGGTTTCTATGTGGTTTTAAAATTTATGTTTCAACTCTTCCACATCAAGAATATAGTCTAAAACAATGTTAGTGCAGCTAGAATAATAGGGCTGAGGAAAACACTCCCCTCCACCCATTTGAGTTTGGTACCAGGAGTCAAACTTGGGCCTTTGTGCTTGCGAGGCAGGTGCCAGAACCACCGAGCTAAATCCCGGCCCACCCATTTGAGTTTGGACAGCACTTTAGGATCTTCTTTCTTCCATCGTCCTGTGAGGGGTAGAGAACAGAAACCCAGAAAACCTTTGAAGTTCTAGGTGAGGGCACACGTGCTTGGATCTCCTGGCCTGACCTTTAGTCATCTTTACCTTACTTGAACCTAATTAAGGTTTCATAAATATACCCTACATTTCATGCATGTAACTAAGATTAGAGTGAATTCTGGGATAGGCATGCATATTAAAAGCCCCTGAGATAACTCAACACCCTGTCAATCATTCTTGTCAATCTTATCTAGAAACAGTAGGAGGTACCCACACTGGGGTGCACATCCCTTAAATTCTGAATGTCTGATTTAGGTGTGCACAATGCAGTACATTTTACCTTCCTGTTATCCTGGCACCACTTTTCTGTTTGTTATTTTTTGTTTGTTCTTTTTTTTTGTTAGCATAGACTAGCCCTGAGCACACCTTCGTGTGACCTTCAAAAAATGTAACTGCTTTTCACTTGCCATTTGACTGTGCATTTGCAATTCTTTGCTCATCTTACACAAGAGCCTGGGATTTATCTGCCAACCCACTCCACAGTAACAGTGTTACTTGGGAAAAGTTATACTCTGGAAAGGCCCAACTTCTAGAGGTTTATTCTTCATTGATTAATTCAAATCAATGCATGAAGACTGTATATTTGGAGATTCATTGTATCCTTTTCTGAATTAGTGCAAAACTGGAAGCCATTGAAGTATTCATGAAGGAAATTTGCTTGAAACCTCATAGCACCTTCACTGCTGGAATGTGAGGCGACAGTCAGGAATAAGATGGTCCAGGGCATGACCGTGGAAGGATGCTGCGATGAGACTGTAAGTAAAGAAATCAAGTTGCAAGCCACATGTGTGATGTGAGCCTACTGTGACTTTTCAAAACTTATAAGGCACATTATTAAATAATGAAAGATGATAAACACATACAAATGTATGTTCACATGTATGTGTGTACATGTGTATGACAACCTACAGAAGGAAATAGATCAAATAGTTAATGTAGTTAATAGTTAACAGTTAAGGAATCATCCAATAGTTAAGGGCTGCCGCTTCGAGTAAGTGAAGAGACCAGGGGATGGGGGGAGCAAGCTTTTCTTTTCTGATGTGCATGTGTGATAACTCACGATTTAATGCTCCCTGCCTTCAATGTACTGAGGCTTCCAGGTAACTAAGAATACACGAGGGAAGCCATAGGAAAACCCTACAGGAAGTCCCTCCTGCCTGGTGTAGCTGAGTCATCCCACAGCCTCCTTTTCCTCAGACCCAGGACAGTTCTGTATCCCATATCCCTCCTTCCCTTTCCTTTATCCATCTCCCCTTCCAGGTCCCTTTCTTACTCCTTCCTGCTGTCACCATGGTTTCATACACCAGATGCCCTCTGGCCACCCAGCTGGGGCATCATGGTGGGCTGGAGTGGTGCCCCTGTGGTGCATCAGGGATACTCCTGTAGCCAGTGACCATGGCTCAGCAACACCATGACACCAGCTCTCAGCCCTAGCCTTCTGCTCCCTGACCTCCCTCAACTTCCCCAAAGATTCCAGGTGTGGAGGGACTGATGCCAGTGTGGGAATACAGACACAGAAGAAGTCCTAAATCTGTGTCAGAGCCAGTGAGGAAAAGGAGATAGACTGGGCTCCTAACTCAGCGGGGCGCTCAGTAAGTCAGTCATGGTGACAGCACCATAAGGCAGAGAAAAGCTTTGCTGTTCATGCTTGGACGCACCCTGCTCAGCTCTGAAGTCCTACCTGTGGCGATGAAGGTGAGGAGCCTCTTCCCTAAGGGAGGGAGAGAGCTGTGCTGGGGCGAGGGCGGTCAGGGTGCCTCCCGAAGGGCGGAAAGATAGGTGACTACAGCTGTCACTGATGCTACAGATGCTGGTAGCCCTATGAGGTAAAGGAGGAAGATGAAGTCCCTTTTTGACCCCAGCTCCAGGCCTCCTCCTGTCCTCTCAGGTGGCCCTAAGGCGAGCCTGTGACTGCATAAGGAGAGGGCTTCTGTGAGTCACCTAGCCCTGGACGTGGCCAGCAGGCCTGCAGCTGGAACTGGAGAGAGGAGCAACAGGGGCCCCACAGGATCACCCACAGCCCTAGCTGGAGTCCCCTCTCCCCTCTGCATGTCACACTCCCTCCTGAAAATCCCCTGATTATCAAAGAAGGGAAATTGCAAAACTGGCCCAGGCTACAGTTCCCAAGGCAGAAGACTACAGGTTGAAGGGAGCCAGAGTTGGGGTCACTTGTAGCTCAGAGGGTCCCACAATACACACACTGGTGGGTTGAGGTTAAGGCAACACCAACTATTGCACAGGGTGGCTCTTAGCAGAACCCCAGGTGGTGACAATGAAGCAATGGCCCAGGGCCCTGGAAAGATGCCTGTCTATAGCCTTAGCAGCAGTCTGGAAGCATTCAGAGCTGTAAATGGGGCTGGGCCCCAACCCACAGACTCTGATTTAATAGGTCTGGCCTGGGGCCTTTGAAAAGGTACTTTATGGACTCCTGAAGTGATTCCAACTTAAAGTGGGGGTAAAGAACCAGCACAGTAAAGCCTCACCATCTGCTGGTTCAACAAAAAAATAAAATGTTCACCCTGGCTTTTACTAAAGAAGTTGAAATTCAGGCTCATATTTAAAGGGTCAAAACTGCTGGGAGCCCGGCAGTGTAGATCACTATGGCCAGGCCTAACTCGACTTCTCCCGCGGATAAGGCAGGGCCCCGTGGGAAGAGAACAGTTGACAAGAGGGAGTGTCAGAGCAAAGCCTGGCCTAGAAGAGGATGTGTCTTCCTCCCATCCATTTCCCATAAAACCATCAAAGCATGATGATCTGCAGACCTTAGCTACTCTCCTGGTTCCGGTTACAGACCAGCCCTTTATCTCTCCCTGCACTTCCCTTATCTCTACCACTATAAATAAACGAAGTGTAGTTGCCTGGCAGTCCTTTTCTCCCATCAGGAGGAAAAGCCCCACCTGGCCCCAGCTTTGTAGCTCTTTGTTCTTGTGTATGTCTTCATCTTTCTTTACTTCATCCCCCTGCCGTTCTCACTTGGTGGACCCTTCAGCCACACAGGCTGAGGCAAAAAACTAATGGAGAGAAGGGGGCAACCAAATTTGAACCAGAGACCTCTTGGTCTGCAGGCAAATGTTCTACCTCTAAGTCATGCCCCCTCTTGCTAATATAAGGCTTGATTAATATCCTCAGTCTAGAGCCACACCCAGGCAATTTATAACCTGAGTTACCACTTCAAGGTGGGAGCTCTCCTGAGCTGCATCAGAAAAACTCATCCTCCTGCAGTGTTAACAGGACACAGATTCCCTCCTCAGAAGGCTGGTGTCAGGGTCCTCCCAACTTTAGCACTGCCACTGGCTGCTGGAATGGTCCTCAGAGTCACGGTGGTGTCCAGCATGTCAGAACCCATGAAGAGAGTCTCCATGCCATTGAAGGGGTCCTTCCCAACACAGGTCCTGACAGGCAGCCCTGATGCTGCTGGCCCAATTCTTGGTTCGGGGTACTTTCCACAAAATTACCATCTATGACAAAAGATGGCCTTTTCAGCTTCCTGTTCTTACTAATGTAGATGGAGAGTGATGGAGAATGAGCCCCTCCAGGAAAGAGCCAGAAGGGGATTTAGGAATCCCTGAAAGCATTAAAGCACTAAGCTAAAAGCTCACAAGGAAATCAGCTAACATTCATGGGAGACAGGAGAAACAGTAACATTGAAATTCAACCTTTGAAATCTCTATATACGAAAGTATTAGAATGAATCAGAGCATCTCCCATATAAAAGGGAAATGCAAAAGACTATCAAAAATGGCCACATACACTGTTAAATGAATCAAATAAGAAACTCAGGAAATGTGGAATGTAATTGATGTTTTCCTTTCTCCTTACTTTTAATTGAAGTATAGCTTTCATACAGAAGAGTGCATAATCTTCATACACAGCTGGATGCATTTTCACATACACATACATATTCACCACATAAATTAAAACAGAAAAACTCTAGCACCCCTGAGGGTTTCTTGGACTCGTTTCCAATTATTCCCCCTGCCCCAAGGATAATACCACTGTCTCACCATGGATTAGGTGGCCTGCTGTTGACCTCTACATGCATAAAAGCTATGAAATTTTCCAGTGACAATTTGTTTTTCACTCATTTTGTGTAGGCTTAGCTGTGGGTTTACTAAAACTGTAACTGAGACAAGCGGCTGTGGAAAATCTTAGCTATCTAAGAAAACTAAATAGTTCAAAACGTGAGGCAAGCAGTAAGTTCAGGAAAAACAAATATTTCAACCCAGTTCTTAGCTCTACTTAGCACTATATACATCGATCAGCCACGAACACCACTCACTAATCATAGTGATAAAACCATTTAAGATCATAAGATTTCCTTTACCTGTTGCTTGAATTTTACATTACAGATTTTGACTCTATATTTTCATTATCATTCAGTTCCAAGTTTCCTTTATGATGTCATTGGATACTAGGTTGGATGTTACCAGTGTTGTCACCAAAACCGAAAAGCTTCTAGATTCCTCCAAAATGGTCCTAGATCAGAACTACTAGGAGTGATCTGTAATTTTACCAAGCTCAGCCAGTAATCCTGATGCAAGAGCAGGCTGGGTAAACTCTGATTCAGCATCTCCCTCCATGATGTAAACTGAAAAGACTAATTGAAAACATCTGAATTGTGCTTAGATGATTAAGAAGAGAACCCTGACTTGTACCAGATAATTGATGTCATAAAAGAAAACTGACACAGGGGCTAGGAAGATTACTGATAACAGTGACTAGAAAGCTGGAGAATGCATCAAGAAAGGACTCTTTCGGCTTGGCAATAAAAGAAAGTGCTAACTGGGGCACAAAGTTTTGCACCAGAGACCTCCTGGTCTGCAGTCAAATATTCTAGCCTTCAGCACTAATGGGTAGGGATCCCAAGGTAAGGCAGCTTTTGGGTCCTTGGGGGATTACAGTGGGTTGAGGAGGCGAGCCCAACACCTACTAGGAACAACACTGGTGCCCTGTCATGCAGTTCTGGAGGGAGGGCTCTAGGGTTTTATCTAGAAACCATAATGCATGGAGACTTCCTCAAGTTACTGAGGGCCAATGTAAGATGGGTGTGGATCAGTTAGCTGCCAAAATTACATGTGAATAAGGGGGCACCTGGATTTGAACCAGGGACCTCTTGATCTGCAGTCAAATGCTCTACCCCTGAGCTATACCCCCTGTAGTAACTGGGTCACCAAGTTAATGCCTTTCATCTGTGAGGTAACATGCAGTTTAGCAACATTAAATTATAGCTCCCTGTCAGGACCAACTTAATAGATGCTGCTAGACCTGGCTTGTAGGACTCCTGCCCTCACGTCAGCTTCCCAGGCCTGTCCTGGTGTGGGATCGTCAGCCCAAGAAAATAAGAGAAGGTGCGCACAGGTCCCCAACCCCATTTCTCATTGCCTTTCTAGTTTAGCCCAGGACCTGGCCAGTTGTGTCCAAACTATCCACACCATCCTCCCTGGTGGGTGCCCAGTTCACACCTTTCTTCCTTCATTGAGGACAGAAGGGGCCATAACTGAAACGCTGTCCCAGAGCTCCAGCAGCAGGGATTTGTCAAACAGTACTGCAGAGTCCCTGTCTCCCAAGTTAGAGTCACCAAGCCAGGCTTTTGCCCTTCAAGTGCATGATAAACTCTGCCATGGGAGAAAGAGTGGGTCAGAGGGAAGAGTCTGCCTTTCACAGAGAACTGGATGTTGGCATTTGTGTCCCAGGTCTGACCACTCCAGTGCACCAGGCTGCTGAGTGGGGTGCAGGTGGGAGGGACATGATGTAGGGTCAGGTGATGCTGTCTGTTCCTGGGAGCTCTGCAGTATGTATAGCTGTCTGTCTGCCCTGGAAAAGCCCAGAATAATTCTGCATCACAGCCCTTGCCTCCCTCTGAGAATCCAATAGACTGGGAGAAATTAGACATAAGCATAAGGAGGGCAGCCAGATGCTAAGAATCTGAGGAACACTGGAGTGCAGGAAGAGATGGAGGTGGTTTTCCATCCACACAGCAGTTGTGAAAGAGCTAGCATGTAGCTTCTGGTTCCTGGGAAGATCATAGTTGGAATGAAGGAAAGAAAAGTACAATAGTATATGAGTTTCAGCTCCACAAAAAGGAGCACCTGGATTTGAACCAGGGACCTCTTGATCTGCAGTCAAATGCTCTACCCCTGAGCTATGCCCTTTGCATGTGATGGGTATCTAATAAGCATCTTTTACCTTCATAGTCACACCTACCATTCCTACAACACATTCTAAGCTTCTGTGTATTTCCAGACAGTTGATAGCACTAGCAACTTATTCTTTAATTTATTCCACAAAAGTCCTTCCCCAGTCTCTAGGTCCCCAACCCTACCCAGTTCTTACACACCTGTACATGCCTCCCTTTGCATCAGCCTGTGGTGACAGCAGCAGCTGAGAGAAGCACTGACACATGCTGTGGGAAGGACCTCAGGATTTACATGTTTAATTTCCTCACTTTATACACAACACAACTCAGTGTGAAGAGATCTTGCTTCACCTTCTCTGAGGCTCTTGCAGTAGCTGTGTGTGAAGCCATCTCTTCAGCCTGTGCCCCCGTGCACTACACCCTGATGGTGGAGGCTGGAGAAAGAGAACTCCCCACTTCCTGACTAGGATCCTGGAGGAGTTCTGAGAAGCATCATGGAGATACAATAGCATCAGGAGCACACAGAGCCTGTGGATTTGGGCCACAGATCTCTGGAGCTGCAGGAGACAGGTCTACCTGAACTCCAACTCCACTGCATGAAAAGCAATCTCAGACTGAGCAGCAGGGACACAGGTGTCCCCTCTGCTGGCCAAGCCCCTGCACAGCACAGCAGCCCCTTGGAAGTGGACCTCATCCTTCTCCAACCCTCTAAACGAAGCCCTCCACCACTGAGACCGAAAGGCCCCAACATTCTGAAGATGTGGAGAAAGGAGGCCATCTACAGGGGCACACGTGGTGGAGACAGCGCCTCTGAAACCATGTCAAGAAGACTAAAGCTCAGAATGGGTAGAGGCCCAGAAAGGAAAATCAGAATAAGGGGAATTTGTCCCCATCATTCGGACACTTTGATTTAGCTACTCATGCTCATTACACGAGTAGTAAATCCTTTTTGAAAAAGCAAAATTGCAATCTGTGTCTTTCCACAGTGCTGAACACAACTACTGTACCTACACACAGCCCATGCAGAGCCCCTCTGCACTCCAAAATCTCAGGAGAGTGATCATTATTTCTCCCATGAGTCACTCACTCAACAAACATGGAGCTTGTTAGGTTCTGTGTCCTGTCATCCACACCGAGGCCACAGACAGGTAAGACATTGTCTTAGTCCTCAGAGTATTAATCCTACTAGCAGTCAAACTCCCGAACCAAAACATTTCCTAACAGGAGGCCATGGGAGCAGGAGGAAAGAGCCTGCAGGTGACGGGGTGGTTCCTGGAGAGATGGAGCATTTGCCAGGGGAGGAAGCTGGACTCCTTAGCCCCTCAGATCTCCTGGAATGCTGGGTTTCCTTGCAGGGAGTGAGTCTCAGGGTACAGCCTTGAGGACAGCCTATGTCACCACGTGAGCAGCCCTGGCCAGGATGGGCCTCACAGCGCCCTCTGCTGTCTTCTTCTGGAAGCCAGAGCACAGACGACAGCTCATACCTGGGACTCTGCTGGGGGTTAAAGGGCAAAACGGGGGTGACAACAACCATCGCATGACTCTTTGTTATTGGTGACTTCAAGGAGTTTTACTCTCTGACATCTAAAAGTGAATCTAGAGAGGGGGCACCCGGATTTGAACCGGGGACCTCTTGATCTGCAGTCAAATGCTCTACCCCTGAGCTATGCCCCCACCTGCGTAGGTGTGTGTAATAAGCACCCTAAACCTGTGTGACCACACCTGGCTGTCATCATTCTGACAAGTGCACTTCTAGAGCTCTGCCATCATGTGTGCCCTTCCTTCTAGGCCACCCTGACCACCTCTGCACACCTGACTGCCACCTCCTCTGGTGACCAGCGCCTCCCGTCACCAGGTCTGGCTGAAGCAGTGACATTAAAATCCTGGAGTTCTTCAGGGAGAAGGCCACCACACTCACCTCCAGGAGCCAGACTCAGCAGAAGCTTTGGAGGACAGGAGGGGACAGGGCCAAGGCAGAAGTTCTTGGTTCCCCTGGGAACTAAGCCAGACCCTCAGGGAAGGGGACCTAGGGATGCTGTGTGCCTCTAAGGAGATTCCTGGATGACTGTAACCGTTTGGAAGATTTTGATTTTATCTGTGCCCTTCCATGGTATCAATCTGAAAAATTATACTGGTTAAAATGATGTGAAAACTAAACACGCCCAGTTACTGACCACATCATAACTGGGGTCCATCTTTATGATAAAGAGCTTCATTGCTCCAAACGCTCTGGGGTGGGGGATGATGGAACTCCCTTACCTCTCTCTTCTTCCCATTTTGCTCTCCATTTACAAAAGTCTCCACGATTGCATTTACAGAATCCCACAATGTACTGGACAGAGAAAGTGACCTGAAGAGAGGGCCCCATGGATGGAAAAATCATGAAATAGAAATCAGAGAAGTCCACAGTTTCTGGAGCATGGCCCAACACAGACATTGCAAACTTTGTTCAGTAGGAAAGAAGGGCCCAGCCAGTGACTGGATTGGACCATGAGCTGCTAGAACACAGGCCCTGTCTCTGCCCTGGAATTAAGCTCACATTCCTGCTTGACTAACACCATTCTGCATTGCCTCACCCAGGAAGTCCATTGCACTGTAATCTCTCTTCCTTTCCAGAGATCTACGGGGACCCAACTGACCTCCTTCACCACAGATGATACCAGGCTGTGACTTTCCTCTGTCCTTCCTTCCCCATAGCCTATGCCAGAATCCTAGAAAAAATCCTCCTCCAGCCCCCTCAGCCTCCTCCTGCTCCATCCTCCTGGGGAACCGGCGTAGGAATCCTTGTTGAGAGCTGGAGTCCTGCTCTCTCCTCCCTCCCAAGGCCTCTTCTTCTCCCACCCCCTCTGCTCTCCACCTCACTCTCACCTCTGCACACAGGGCTCTCAGGGGTTGGTCTGCAGTCTGCGTCTCACCTCTCCCTCTCACTTCTCATTTTCTACCTGGGCTAGGAGGAGAACTCCTTACCTGAGACGTCACACCCCAAGCTGTCCATGAGCCACTAGGTCAGCACAGCTGGAAGAGGCCCAAGATGTTTGAACCATGGGGCTCAGCACTCAGGATGCACTGGTGTTCATTTAGGGGACTCTGCCTTGTGTCCACTCTCCGGAAGCCACCAGTAGGACACTAAAAGACCTCACAACCCCATGACATGGAGTGAGGACCATCAGCCACAGGAACAAGAGAGGCAAAGACCTGTGGAAGGATGGTGGGGCAGGGAAGCCCAAAATTCACTGTGATTTGCAAAGGACGATCAGGGCACCGACAGTGTTTACTTTCTTGGTTAACAAAATATGTAACTGTATTTGTTACTGTGAAATACACTTCCAATATAAATAATATCACACCCTTGAATCTTCGTAATGTCATTTACAAGACTGAGGAGTATAGCATATAGAGTTATTAAGGGTCTCTGTTTCCTGATATCACGGAGAATGCAGATCAGGTGTGAGTGGAGGGACCTGGTAGCCAGAAGTGACAGAGGATAAAGGGACAGAGAGAACTTGACAGCAGCTTGTGAATCCACAGACACGAATTTCTCCACAACTTCACACAGGTTTTCCAAATGTGGATGAAGGGTTCGTAGGTTGAAGACAAAAGATGAAAGGACATGAACATAAGAGAAATGACCACATAAGAAAACTGAGGCCCATACTTCCAAAACTACTATATAGATTCAATGTAATGCTGATTGAAATTCCAACAATA